AGATCTGGTCTCATCTGATTTGTGGTCGCAGATTACAAATGCTTTGGACCGATATTTATTGGAATCGTGTTTGTGCGAAGGTTTATGAGATCAGAGTCTTCAAAGTATAATTGGAGATCGAGCAGTGGAGACTAAGGAAGGCCAATTTATTGAGAATGACGGCATGCGGATCTGACTGGAAAAAATAGACTGTTTATTGGAGATAACATCAACATAAATCGTAACATCGGTACTCGACACTAGCTAAAGCCGCCATGGACAGGCGATTTGTCAGCTTTTTGAAATGAAAAGATTCTTTTTGTTTATTGGAAATTTAGCTGCATGTATTGTAGAGAACGTTTCGACACAGGCTGAAGAGCAGCCGCTCTGCAAAACTTATACCCGGTGGAGTGAACTGTTCCGGACAAATCATTTTTTGACGTGTTGACAAGGTTTCAGACGAGATAAAGGCACACAACAAAAAGCAAGAAATTCCGCAGCAATCGCTCATAGTTTTAACTTTCTTTTATCGTAAATTTTTTTTATTATAGTTCTTGCAATCGCCTGCAACGTGTTCTATTAGAGAACAAAGTAATTTTACAAATCTGGTAATCCAGGGGTAATCTGTTCATTATGTTTCTATTTTGACGAGCTGTCAATTTACAAATGAACCGAACCGTGAAATATCAAGGGGCGTTTTCCAGAATCGTGGGGTTTGCGGGCAAGCGTTTCCTCTTCTCCCCTCCCCCTCCCCCTTCAACCTTTTTTTTGCTTCCGCTCTAACTTTCGCGTAATAACTCGATTGGAAACGCTTGCTACACAGGCTAGTCTCCTCCCTTTTTTTTGGTTTTTCAATTTTTTTTTTCAATTCCTTATTACGTAATTATGTACCTCTTTGTAACTTTAACAGTGTGATTTTATAAATAAAACAATAATAAATGAAAAAAAAAAAATTCCAAGTCAACAAAGATTAGGGTCCAAGTGTCTTGGAAGTGTTTAATTTCATATACCATTCACCATGCTGACTCCTAAATTGGTCTTAAAAAAACTCACTTCTTCAGGGATGGTGTCATTTTCTGTCACATTAGAAGACTCTGATGATGACAGGCTTTTTACAATAGTATCCCCTGTCTTTTTGTCTTGTTGACCAATAATCTGAGAACTTTTTGCTTTGTATCCTGTTACATCCTCTAAAGAGATTAAAAACATGCATCAAATTATTTTAAAAAATTATACAGTATACTTTAACATGCAAGATTTAAAATTTCTCTGAATTACAATTGAGTCAATCTCAGGGAATTTATGCATTTACTCTTACCCTTACCCTAACATTGATTTTCAAATTTCATGCCAACAGGCTGGTTTGCCTAAAACCCGCATATTATCCGGAAGCCCCACACCAAATGCCAACACATGACTCTGACGTTTAGTGATTAGGGTTTACTGAATGAATCAGGTTCCATTTAGGGTCATTATGGAGGTGGCTGTGGGAGCACATGTGATGCACTGAGCAAGTGGTGCTCCCATCCCCTCCCCAACCTCTCCCCGCCCAAAATGCACATTAGCACTTCAGGGTGATCTTCCCTGGCTTTAGCTTATTCCAGGCAAGCAGCTGCCAGAAGGAAAGGGAGAGCTACCCCCTTGCTTTTGTCCCCCCTATAAATAGCGCTTTTCTATCCGATTGTGACATAATTCATGATCAATGATTGTGATTACCACAATTAACATCACAAAGGTCTTTTGTTTGTAAATTTTTTTGTGAACGCAGGCTGTACAAGAAACAAAACAATCAGCGTACACAAAATATAGCGTTAGTATTTAATTAAGGAAGATTGTCACAAACCTTGTCCCATCTCTTAATCAATAGATCTAAATTTACGGTGGTCGTCAAGGCGGTAATAAGCGTTAGTGTATGAAGCTGAAGCGCGCATAATACTTCAGAGCAAAACGTCTCTAACCTTTTTTCAGGAAGGTAAATCCCTGCAAGAATTCTTCGTATGTTTGCTGTTGCTTGCTAAACAGCACATCAAGGGCGTCCTTAGCGTACTGATCAAAATCAGGAGATTCCTCTTCGTTTCTACACCTTTCACCCTTCGCCATATTTTTTCCAGCCCGTTTGAGCGAACTCGAAGACTAAAAGCTAGTGTTCAGTCTCTCTCTGACCGTGTAACCAAGCACCGATTCTAAACATACCCGCAAGGCGGGAAGATGGTGAGTAAAATTTGCCTTTTTTTCATATATTTTCCCCGGCTCTCCATTTCTAGGACTTTCTCTAGATAGTACTAGTATCTGTATTAGTAAATTCATAGGTTTATAGTTTTTGGAAGTTCTGCTGCGAGCTAAAACTGTTGCTCAAGTCCAGCAAGTTTACAGATGAAGGCTCGTACATACGGCCGTAATACAATTTGTAGATTTTCAAGCCATGTTTGCACGTTTCATCCAAAATGGGAAGAAGTTGCATTGATTCACCATTCGATTTAATTGTTGGGAGTTAATTTCTAAATACACTTGTAGAATTCATGTGCAGTTTGATCAAGCAAAAAAAGGGCCAACGTTCTAGACCACAGGCTTACCATCTTCCGGACTGTATGTCTTGAGTTGAGTAGTGATTAAAAAGAGCATTATTTTGAAACGGCCTCTTTTAGAAAGAGGCAAATACAGATTTTCCAACCCCCAAGAGGCAGAAATCTTGAGATTCTGAACTTAGAGCTGGGAAAAGTAGTATAGAAGTGGGTTAAAGTCATGAGATGTCCTAAATTTTCTAGTGGACAGTAATTTTGTTACCCCTGTGTCCTGCGTCCCTGACGCATAACAATTCTAAAGGATGCAGAATAATTGACGGCTTGCGTCTTTTGGGACGCAAAGATTGATTGTGATCAATTTATCGCCCTTAAGATGTTTTCGAAGAATGCCCAGCTTGTGCGGTTTTAAGTATGTAATGAAAGCTACCTCAAAACGAAAGAGTAATATTATCCGCTCATTAAATAGGTTAAGAACAATTTGTGAACAAATTTCCATGCCAATTCTCCGATAAGATTTTTTTAAAAAGTGAACTGAACTGGGATGCTTTAATTTTGGACTGAGACTCCTGACTTTTTATAAGATGAGTCCAGGACTCACTATTAGCAAATTGTAACAAACTTACTGAGTTGAAGAACTTCAACCAATGAAAGGGGGTTTATGGGTTAGGGTTAGGGTTAGATCTATTCACTGTTGAAATCATGTATCATTTTAAAGCTGGAGCAGTAAACATCATGATCAATGAGAGATTTAGATTATTGTTAACAGTGACTACTAGTCTATGCATTTGGTGGTAGGACAGGGGCGGATCTAGGGGGAGGGTGCAGGGGGTGCGCACCCCCCCCCCCCGCCCGAGATGACCTGCGGTTTTCTAATACAACTGGTATTCTGCAAAAAAAACTATGTGGTTTATTAGTGTTGAAATAGAGCAAGAGACGAGTACACCCCCTCCTAAAAAAAATCCTGGATCCTCCCCTGACGATATCGGCGAAAACACAAAATGTCCAAATGGGCATTTTCGCGGACGACGCGGTATTTTACTTTGGTGTAATCAAAGATTGTAATGATGCAGAGTCANTTCTAATACAACTGGTACTCTGCAAACAAAAACTATGTGGTTTATTGGTGTTGAAGTAGAGAAAGAGACAAGTGCACCCCCTCCTAAAGAAAATCCTGGATCCGCCCCTGTAGGAGCAAATCACGGGAGGACACTCTTGGCTAAAAACATGACCAAAGAATATAAACAATGCACCAAGTTGGCAATTCACATGTTTACTAATTTAGACTACGAGTAGTCTCCCATTTTTCCTCAGGGATAGTAGAATAAATCACCCCACGCGAGAAAAGACGACACGCGCAGCGTGTCGCCTTTTCTCGTGTGGGGTGATTTTCACCCGCGCTCACTTTTCGCTCGCTCTACTATCCCTGAGGAAAAATGGGGGACTACTTGTAGTCTATTACTAATTAAGCATGAGCACTATGTGTTTTCTTTAGTCTGAGTTTGCTATCTAACTTAACTTGGAAACAAACCCTACAGATGCCCCAGAATTGTTTTAGAGAGTGATTTTTCGAGAAAGTATGAGAAATCGGTTGTCACCCCTAGCGAGTGCAAATGAGATGTAGGTTGTGAATTTGTGAGACTCCAACAAAGTTGTGAGACTTGGCAAGTCTACAAATACAGTTGACCAGGCAGAGTTATTATGGAGGAGTTACTTTTAAAAGTGGCTTTGGAGTCAAGTTCTCCATTGAATTCAAGGAATAATTATTACTGCAAATCCAACTTGATTACATGGCTGACAGACTTGTTCAAAAAACCTTATTAAAGGAGAAGTGTCCAAGTAGTTACGAGAATTCCGTAAACTTCTACTTATAACCTCTCCTCCGCCCAGTCAGTGGCCCATTTACCTGTAAACAAAAAAAAATCATGTGGCTATGAGCAGGGTGGGCCAAAACCTATGTCTGATTGTGCGGGACAGGTAAAAATTTAGTTTGGACATGTAAACCTTTAACATCAGTTGTCCATGGGACAAGCACATTTTTAATCAGAAAAAATACAGAAACAGTTGAAAATTGACTTCATATTACAACCAACCCCCTCTAGCTTAAACTGTAATGAATTTGATTTTTTACAACGTTTTGGAGCTTAAAAACCCCTCCTAAAACCCCTTATGAGGTTGTTTGGATAAGGCTTATAGCGGAAATCAAAGTTTATGGTAAAAGAAAATTGGTTCAATGTTAATGTTAAGATTAAAATAATTTTAAACTATGTAGTAAAATTTAAAAATGCACAAAAAATAAACACTTAAGAGGGGAGGAAGGCAGTGAGGAACACAAAAATATTATGTATTACCAGCATATTTGACAGACTGACATACTGAGAATTCACTCCAATTTTAATGGCCAATAAGCTTCCAGAACTTTACAAGGCACTCAAAGTTTTAATAGCAAACTTTGTCCACTTTTTGTTAAAATCATTGCATTACTACTTTAATACACCATAGCCACCAAAAGCAGCAGCCAAAGGAAAAAAGAGTGCCAAGCTAACAAAAGCTGAGAAGGAAAAGTTAAAAAAGGAAGAAGCAGAGAGAAAGGCAAAGGAGGAAGGTGATTGTTAATACTGGCAGTAGTTTTAGTTTTAAGTACTGAAATCTTTATAGTAAAGACTGTACTGACTAAGGCATTAATTTTTTACCAAAATTGGGTTGGCCCTGACCTGTAGGACTACAAAAGAGTTGGTCTATTTGTGTGCCCTGAAATTCACTAGAAAGGTTAATAATAATAATAATAATAATAATAATAATAATAATAATAATAATAATAATAATAATGCCCAGTGGGTAGATCATCTTGGAATTACATTGTCAATTACAGACAGGCTACATTGTTGACTAAAGACTACTCTTAAGACTTGCAAGTAATGGCCCTGTGTAAGCAAATTGTGAAACAGCTGAGAGATGTTGCAATTGGAGTATAACTTAACGAAATGTCAACACTTCATACTGACAGTTTCCTATTTAGTTATACAAATTATGTGGGATAGTAGTTACATGTCTCTTTAGACTTGTTTTTTTATGTAGAGTTGTTATTGAGCCAGTAAGAGTTGTCTCTTCCTTTCAGAGGAGGCAAGGCTCCAAGCTGAACAAGAACAGAGAGAACGAGAAGAGCGAGAAAGACAAGAGAGGGAGGAAAGAGAGCGACTTAGGCAACAGGTATTTCCAAGAATATTTGAACTCTCCTTACAGTTATACTAGTAATGCACTGTATATATTGTACCTTCTCCTTGTTTGGATTGCCTTACTTGCAGCATACTCATATGTGGTAACAATCTTTAGTAATAAACCCCTTAAGCATATGGGACCTCTCTCATTTCCCCATGTAGATCATGTGGTAACTAATTAAGAAACCATTTCTTTCCAATTTTATCTCATTCACATTCATGCAAATGTACGTGTATTTAAATAAAGGGACCTACATTCCTGGGAAAACAAGACATACCAGCTAAAGTAGAAAAAAGTGTTGGCAAAGTCCATAGTTTCTAGCTACAACTGGGATCTTGCTCATGCCTTGCCCAGAACCTTCATATGTCAGGATGTGTAAGTCAAATTGCTTAGATTTAATGGTCACTTGATCTGCCTCAAGGTTTAGTGTCAGGTTAATATATGGCTGTACCGTTCTCCAGGGTATTGTCAAGTTACTCTGTCGCCTTTCCTTTTATATTTTGACTTGAATTAATTTGTCTTAGGAGAGTGCCAGACATCAGGCTGAAGTGGATGAACTCAAAGAAAAGATTGAAAATAACTCTGAACAACTTAAAACTTTACTGCAAAATGAGCGATCAAAAGCCAAGGTTGGTGTAGTAAGTTATTAGTGCTTGCATGCTTATGAGTGCTTTGAGACATGACTGGGGCAATCCATCAGGCTCATGTATGCTGTCATCATACATTAACATGTGGCAAGTGAAGTTGTTACCTTCTACAGACTAATTTTCTAGCTCCTCAAAGTTTAGTTAGGACTTATAAAAGCAAGCCTTTTTCCTTTAGTCAGACTGATTTTAAATTAATTTTGTGTTTCATTAAGTGTTTTCATTTTTGGACTCACTAGTACTTTTTTCTGCGCGGTTGATTTTAAAACTGCTGACTGCTGGAACATTTGAAATAAAATAATAAATTAAAATAAACATTGGGTTAAATGTCCCACTTAATACAGGGTGAAAAGAAAACACAAAAGATTGCTTACCCTTTGGAAAAGCTTAGAGCAGTTGCACAGGTCTACGAACCTGCTTTTTCACCGACACTTACTTCTTCTCAGGAAATGTTTCTTGTCTGTCAGACCACTCATACGTAAAACCATTCAAGCCCTGCAAGTTGCTTCACTGCTGACTATCCACAGGCTTTTGAACAGGACTTTTGGACAGTACTTTTCTTTCGTTTATAACGTTTGTTAAATTTACAGATTACAATGTGTCCCGTGACAACTTCTTTTCTTTGATGTTATACTGTGCTTCATAATGAAGTGCACAGGTTACAAGTTAGGACGTTTAGAGGAAGTTAAAAGATTATGAGAAAAAAGAAAATTTCTTAACAAAAAATAAGAAATGTCATGCCATTATTTAATAAATAAGACTTGTAAAGTAAGTAAGGAGAATTTGTACATTGAGGTTGTCAACAGTACTGATAGACACTTATTTCTAAAATTTTATTTCTGTCAAATGTATGGACTAAAGTTCATGATATCCTCTATTGTAGTGGGAGAGATATATGCTGTGTGATGGCAGTCCTGATCCCCTTAATACTTTTGAGCTGAACACTTACATGAATCTTTGGCGAGATGACAAAGAATACAAACCATTAAGTAAGGTGCTCAAAGAAACTGAAGAGACATTGAAGGTAGTCTATCAAAATATTTTACTTGTTTATCTCAAGTGAGCATATTTTAAAGACGTTTGTAAACAGCTATTTAGTATATAACTGACAATAGTTTAAGCAATAGACCACACTTTCAATGGGTTTACCAGCATGATAGCCCATGCGGGATGTTGGGTGAGCACAAGAAAGCTTGTAAATCACAAGCTGAAAGCGACTCATTTACAAGCTTTTCGAGTGTTCTCCCAACATCCTAAGTGTGTTATCACGCCGGTAAACCCATAGAAAGCGTGGTCTATTGCTTTTATGAAATAACTTTAAGTTTTCTACGAGTTTACCAGCATAATAAACCATAGGTTTTTAACCAATCAGAGCATGCGTACTATCTTAGTTATTTTATAAATTATGAGATATAGATGTTACAGGTTAACTGTAATTATATTCAGGTTAAAATTTTTTAACAATTTTATTTCCTTTGTCTCATAGCCCTAGTTCATGAATAATTAGGAAAGGAAATTGAGAATCAACCTAGGTTAAAAAATTTTAACCTGAATTTAATTTTGACATGTAACACAGACACAATAAATCTTCAGGATTTTGTTATAGACACTCATTAGCCTTTTGTGTGTCATTTCTTTGGTACTTAGTTACACTGTATTTGTAATGATAGAATAATCAATCTTAATTTTAAGGAAATAAAAGCATGACTTCCAAAGAGTATAATTTAAAAACTCTATTTTTGATAGTTTATTAAAGTGCCTCTACAACTCGGTACAGAGAAAGTGATTAGATGTATTTTTTAAAATTATTTTGAAATTAATCTTTTAGATCTTAGATTAAGACCTTTTGTTGTTAGCTCTGTATTTTATTTGAATTTTCACTGTAATTTTAATAGTTAGTTTATACGACCCCACAAAATTTTTAGCTTGAAATCACATTGTGTCAAAATGAAATTTTTGTTTTATGTTTGTTATGATTATGTACTGAAGGGTAACTGTCTATTCCAAATGCTGTAATATTGTTTGTTCTCTAGAGCTGACTCCATAAATTATTATCATTAATCACTTTATTTTGCAACAGCTCATCACAGAAATGAAGAATTTGATATTCAGTTCAGAGGAGGAAGGCTTTACAGAAGATGACACACAACAGCTTAAACAGGTAACTCCTGACACAATGATTTCATTAAACATACAGTGTATACTGTTTGTAGAATTAATATATGTTGTGGTTCAGTTTAACCCATTCGCCCCTGAACCGCCCGTAACCGCCCGTGCAGATCCACGTCCTTTCTACCCTTTGTGACGTCATCAGTTTTAACGGTCAAGGACAACTTTGTCTGCTAACTTGTGCAGAGTGAAGAGATCTCTCAATCCATACCAGAATGAGCATAATTCAGTCAAGGACACCGGAGAAAGAGGCAAAAAACCATGTAACATTGACCTGAAAATCTCCAAGGAAATCTTGTTCCATTGCTCACCTACCTTTCCTTTTACCTAATCCTGAGATCCTAAAAGGTTTCCGAAAAACTATTCCCACCAAAATGAAGCCAACTAAATGCCCAGCAAGAGAAAAAAAAATGAGGCAAGAAAGCGAAAAAAGAAGGGAGGAGAGAAAGCGAAAAGTAAAAGTCAAGACTGCTGTGTCACTTTTAAACCCAAAAACTATCTCGAAATTTTGCTTTCTGCGCATGCCCGAACTTCGCAAGCTGATATTTTGCATCTGGATCAGAAGGCTGTGAAGTGTACGACCTGTAAACCGGTGTGTGGTAAGTTTTAGCTCTTTATAGCACGACAGTGACCAGAAAACCACTTGACTAGCTTCAAAACATGTTTTTCGGCAAAATCTCCAGGAGCGAATGGGTTAATCTTTGCTTTAAATTTTATTTTCCTAGGCTTCAAAGTAAACTCATCATGATTCATTGCCATGCATACCAATAAACAAAGGAACTGAAACAAAATTGAACCATAATTTTTTATATGTTGTGGTTCAATTTTTTCCTTTGTTTAAATTTTATTTTCCTTTGTTTTGGGGTATGGTATAAGTGTATGATAATGAGTTTTAAACAAAGGAAAATAACATTTAAACCAAGGAAAAAATTGAACCACAACATATACATGATTGCATATTATTTTAAAGTAAATTCTTGTTAGTTCAATGGCTATGAGTTAATCAACATTATCTATTTTTTGTAGCTAATTTTTAACTGAATTGGGTTTACTAGACCTTACCTTTTTTCTTTTACAGTCAATTTCTCAGCTTGAACAGTTGATAAGTTATAAACTGGATGAGGCTACCATGAATCTGCTACAGGTAAGACTGTTTAAAGTTGCCCCGGACAAATTAATAGGGAGCTTAAGCAAAGGCGATGGCAACGGCAACGAGAACTGCAAAAAAGCAGTAGGTTTAAATTTATTTAGCAAAACAAAAACTTTGCATGTGCATCACCCTTTTTTGTACGTTTCTGCCCAACTACAACATGAAAGTGCCTAATTTCACGTTTTGGAGAAGACATGAACACATGACAACAACTTTTTTAGAAGTCAACTCCAGAACAAATGATCAGTAGTAAATGAATTGAACAAGATAGAATAAAGGCAGTAAAGTTTGATCAGTGCAAATTCTGTCATTGCTAATGTGTAGGAGGAGCATTCGCCACCATCTTAACTCCATTAAAGAGAAAGAGTGTCACTTGAAAATAAAAAAGACCTTTGCAATTGCCTATAGTGGTAGATTATGATTTTACATATCTTGTACAGTAGAAATCTTTCAAGCTCAGTTAAATTCTTTTTTTCACAAACCATTCAACTTGAATACATGTGTGAAACCCTGTGTAATAACAACCAACCTGTAATAGTCCATTAACACACTTACTTACCCACTGCCTGTAATGCCCACTGGCATGAAGTGCAGCAACAAAGGTCCTCCACTCCTGTTCACTGTTCAACTATCTGTTCTTGGCCAGGTTCTGGATGGTACTCCAGGCGTGGTGTGGGGTCTTCATTTCTCCTTCTACCATTCGTCGCCAGGTGTTCTTCGGTGCCTCAACCTCTTGCGCTTGCCTGGTGGTGTCCAGAGACACACACTAAATCATTTTGGTGTCCAAACACTCACTAAGTTATTTTGAAAACCATCTTGTTAATACGACTAGATTTCCATGACCCTTGGGTGATTTCTCAATAACTTGTTTAATTTGACGTTGTTATAGAATGCTTCTGATGATGTGGATCCTGATACACAAAATTTGCAGTTCACAAGCACTTCTCAAAATATGACAGTTTGTGTTTGGGGAAACGTAGCCAAGAATCCTAGGTATCGTCATTTAATATGTTTTTGAATACTGACTTTTTCAAATAGTTTATTTGGAAGGTAAGTTTTGCAGTAGCATCCAATATTGTTGGACTGAACCACAAGCTCTGGTAGTTAATAAGTATGTGGGTTTGTGTCCTGTTCTTTGTTTCAGTATTAGTATTATTTTGTTGTCACTACACAATTGACATTTCTGAAACATTTATAATAAGGTGTTCAAAGTTTTCAGAAGTTACACATTGTAAACTTCCTTCTGAGCATGTGTTAATCACTTGGCTCCTAAATTGGATCATATGAATGTTCACTATTTTTGCAGGGTCAAATCCTTCTCATTTGAAAAGATGGGACTCACAATGGAAATCCCCAAAGTTCTTGCTGTTGGAAATGTGGCTGTGCGTATCATGTACACCAAGTATGACCACCTGTCTCCCTTGTCCAAGTCATTTTACCCTAAGCTCAAAGTGAAACCTCCAGAAGTGGTGGTAGAAGAAGCAGAACCAGTGGAAGAGACAGCTGTTGATGGGGTAAATATTTCCACATATAACTACTGACAAAAGTTAGTCATGCACTATGCCATCCACCTACTTCGTGTTTTGGCTGGCTATACTTTTCCTCCAGGGCTCAGCTGTACTAAGACTGATTAGCGCTAACCCGAGGTTAAATTTTAATCTGCATTCAAGGCTCGAAATAATTTGCGGAGAGCCTTCAGACACGATGACCGGCCAATTTCATTTTAGCTCGGTCACTTATCGTTTCTGGCCGGTCAAATTTTAACTCTTAAAACAAGGGCCCATGAACCAAAAATGGCTTTATATATTCCAAAAAACAGCTATGGGTTCAGATATTTCGCGGGTTCACGTGGCTGCGAAATTTGTTAGAAATCCTATCTAATACATGTCGATACAACATAATTGAAACTTATCTTGGCTGTTGGGGCTGTTAATTGCCATCACGTTCATCCCCACGACGAACGAACAACGTTCCAAAACTACCAGGCATAAGTTATGTTGGGAACAACTGGGCACTAGTCATGATGTTTTAAAAAGCTTTGCCAGCGGCTCATTTCTCGAGCGCTTTGTAGTTAAAATAGCAAGTGATTATCTCTGTTAAAAAACTTTAAACACGCTCGTCAAATCAGCGCAAAATCGATCGATTTGTAGTGAAATTTGTCCAGAAAATTCCAAGAAATCGCCCGCTTTTACCTATTGTTTTTTGGCAAAGTTAGTCTCGAAAATTTCCACGAAATTCCCGCAATATCAGCCGATTTTTTCGCGAATCTCTCTAAAAATCCCGTGAAACTTGACTTTTTTTCTCCGCGACCAATCAGACGCCCTGTGTTGCTTAACTCATAAAAGTGAAAATATTCTTAATTTTGTGAGCGAAAACACGTGAACCCCAATGTCTGTTTCAATGCGCGAATTGTAAACAATGTTTCTAGTTGTATTTCACCCAGGATTTCAGATCAATGTTTCGCAATGCACAGCGACTCGCTACATACTTATAACAATTGAAACAACTGTTATTGACAATCATTGCAAATAAAGTGCATTTTTAAAATTAAGCTAAGGGTCAACACATGTCAGTTGTCCTATTGATGCAGAAATATACAATTTTTTCTGAGCCTGAAAATTCATTTTCACCGGAGAAAAAATTTTCTCCATGGTATTGAGGTGTAAAATAATCTTACCTGAACGAATGATTTGCCTGATGAATCAGCTGATCGCATCAAGATGGAAGGAGTTGCTGAACCAGGTCCTAGTATCTACGATATTTAAGCACCATTGAATGACAACTGTCAGATCATGTGTTATTACAAAACTGATCTCCATCCCAGTGATTTAGCATTGATTGCCTCTACCCCCATTTCCTCCATTCAAAGTTGGGTTTGTTTGTTGTTTCCTACAGGTACAGTTGAACCTCCATGTGCGATGACCCTTCCTACCTGACTCACACCTCCAATAAGTGAAAACTTCCAAAACACAAAAATCTTCCAAGTCCAATTAGAAAAATTGTGATTGATTAATTCTATGTAGTTATATCATCAATGTCAATTGTAAGCTGCATTTCGTCTCCTCCTAGCCTGCGTAGCAAGCGTTTCCTCGCGAGGTTCATCTAGAAAGCTGAGACAAGAGCAAAAAAAATGAAGGACGGAGGAGGGGGAGGGGAACGAAGGAACCGCTTGCCCGCAAACCCCACGATTTTGAAAAACTGCGTTCGCCCACGAACGCAGTTTCTGATTGGCACGGTGCGGGTAGTGTTGATTACTTAGCTTTCAAAACATCAATCAAGCCAGGTATGCTTTGTCTTTGTGCGTCACAGATCTGGTCTCATCTGATTTGTGGTCGCAGATTACAAATGCTTTGGACCGATATTTATTGGAATCGTGTTTGTGCGAAGGTTTATGAGATCAGAGTCTTCAAAGTATAATTGGAGATCGAGCAGTGGAGACTAAGGAAGGCCAATTTATTGAGAATGACGGCATGCGGATCTGACTGGAAAAAATAGACTGTTTATTGGAGATAACATCAACATAAATCGTAACATCGGTACTCGACACTAGCTAAAGCCGCCATGGACAGGCGATTTGTCAGCTTTTTGAAATGAAAAGATTCTTTTTGTTTATTGGAAATTTAGCTGCATGTATTGTAGAGAACGTTTCGACACAGGCTGAAGAGCAGCCGCTCTGCAAAACTTATACCCGGTGGAGTGAACTGTTCCGGACAAATCATTTTTTGACGTGTTGACAAGGTTTCAGACGAGATAAAGGCACACAACAAAAAGCAAGAAATTCCGCAGCAATCGCTCATAGTTTTAACTTTCTTTTATCGTAAATTTTTTTTATTATAGTTCTTGCAATCGCCTGCAACGTGTTCTATTAGAGAACAAAGTAATTTTACAAATCTGGTAATCCAGGGGTAATCTGTTCATTATGTTTCTATTTTGACGAGCTGTCAATTTACAAATGAACCGAACCGTGAAATATCAAGGGGCGTTTTCCAGAATCGTGGGGTTTGCGGGCAAGCGTTTCCTCTTCTCCCCTCCCCCTCCCCCTTCAACCTTTTTTTTGCTTCC